CCTTTTACGACGGGCAGGGCTTCAGTCGTATGGGCTCTTTTGAAACCACCACCACCACCACCACAGATGTCCCATCTGCAAGGCAGTGACCACAAACAAGAGCTGGGCATACGAAATGGGGTTACAGGGATCCTGACAATAATCCCATTTTAAAGGTTGGGAGCTGAGGTTAGGTTTTGTGGAAGAACCCCTGTGGTCCAGCCATTCTTGCCTCCCCTTTGCCTTGGCCAGCTGTCTTCAGTCTGGACCCATCCAGATGTCTTGAATTTCCCCAAATTCCCCTGGCAGCATGGCTGGGGTTCTGGGAATTGCAATGTACGGAGGGCAGCAGGATAGGAAAGGCTGCTCGTGATTGTCCCACAACCACACAGGCTTAGTTCCTACAACACACTAAACTCTCCACCCGGATAACAGTGGCTGTGTTCACACGACACACCCAGTGCCCATTCCGGTTTTGGTTGAACACAGTAGCGCGATCCACAAAGCATTTACTTGTTTGGAATAGAAAGGATTTAGGGTGCCCTTCTCCGTGGCTGAAGGGACCATCCATGAAGCAGAAGCAAGTACCTATGGAGGACATCAACAAACCATCAACCCAAGGTTGCTCATTCCTCAGATCTGTCTTCATCCAGAGGACCAACCTGTGTCTTATCTGAAGAGATCCAGGATCTCAGACTCAGAGATCTCATCAGAGAAGAAGCAGTAGGGCTTGGTCCTTATCTCCCTGGCGTTCCCCATAGCCGGGGAAGGTCTCTCATGAGCATGCTAACTCCTGGCGCCTCCATGTTGCTTTCTGGGCAGCATTGCGGTGGGGATTATCCCTTGCATCCTCCAGGGATGTTTTTTCGGTTTCCCAGTCAAGCCTTCAGCCCTGGGGTTTCCTGATAATCTCCCATCCAAATACTGACCGAGTCTAGCCCTATTCAGCTTTCGGAGATGATCCAGTTAAGCCTGCCGTGCAAAGGCATCCTGAAGATTTTTACCAGGTCTTGTTAAGCGTGTTGTGCAAACCCAGCCAGTGTGAATTGTGTATGATAAAGTGGAATTTCCGAGACGTCGGTGTAATAGGAAGAAAGCTATTTTAGAGGGGAGAGTGGCTGATGTGGCAAAGGAATCATTCTTCCCCCCAAAGGCCTTCGTCATTTCCTTGCTTGCACACCCAGCCTCCCCCCACCATGTTTGCTTGTTTTGGTTCATAGGCAGAACAGTTCCTCAGTTTCCCATCTGCAAAATGAGGAGGAAAAATGATCCCCCACCCAGGATTCAATATCAGGCCTCTAATGCCCCCAAAGGGAAATGTTTATGATAAAGGTGCAAGGCAGGAGGGGCGCTTTTGGAGGGCCTCCTCCTATATCCCTTTAAGATGGTCTCAGATCCCGTTAATGAAAGGTGGTTTGTTCTCTCCCCCTTTCCGTTGTTTACGCTGGCTGCATCTTCTGGGACCTTCTGCTGGGAACACACAGCCTCCCTTAGGGAGGCCACCGCTCTTGAAAAATTTCCATCTCACTGTTCAGGGCTATGTTTACGAGCCAGAGCAAAGGCGAGCGTTGCCTATTTCTGAAATCACCCCGGCTTGAAATAGTCCACCGCAGAGTGGATATATTGATCTCAGGTTTCTGGAAAAGGTGGAGCAAAGACATTCAGAGAAGACTATGGAGGATTAAAGGCTGGAGGAGGACTCAGTAGAGCAGTGTTGTCCAAACGTGGCCACTTCTAGAAGAGGGGACTTCCTCATACACCCTTGCCCCCCCCCCGCCGCCCCGTCGCGCGGAATTTGAG